AAGGAAGGGAAGAGGAATAAGTGGAAGGGAAGGGAGGGGAAGGGAAGAGGTGGGCCAGAAGTCTGGCAGTGCCATGGTGCCTCGGTCCCTGTCTGGGGACAGGAATTAGCTGGCTCTCTGCCCATGATTAGGCTTTGCTGTGAGTCTGTGAGGCCACAGGCTAGTAACTTCCTCAGCACAGGATTGATCATGTGTCAGAAATTGCAATGAAGCAGCGCAGAACTCTGAGTTAGAGCAGGAATCTAAACAAGGCAGGGCTCAAATTCTTGCCTTTGAATATCAGCAAAGGCTATCGGAAGTGTGAGCAAGCTCAGAATGCAGACCTTGTCGGGAGCTCACTGTGGACTGGAACAGCAGTTTGCTGGGGCCCCCAAGGCTACTCATGCTGCCAACTTGAGGTTTATAATGCTAAGCTCAGTCCACTAAGGCTTATAGGGCCAAGGAGCCAGATCCCTCAGTTTACTTTCCAATTATGCCCATCCCGCTTCTTCCAGGAGGCAAATCAGGAGGAGCACAGGATACTCTCAAAAGAGGCCCAAACCAAAAGAGGCAAAGACCCAAACGGGGTGTGTGTGTGTGTAGCCTATGTTTGCTTTTTCTTATCTCCAGCTTCCTTGATCTTCTTCATACGAGGGAGAGGGAGAGAGAGAAGGAGAGGGAGAGGGAGAGGGACAGGGACAGGGAGAGGGAGAGGGAGAGGGGCAGAGGGAAAGGGGCAGAGGGAGAGGGACAGGGGAGAGAGGGAGAGGGACAGGGAGAGGGAGAGGGACAGGGGAGAGAGGGAGAGGGAAAGGGGCAGACGGAGAGGGAGAGGGAGAGAGAGTGGGAATGGGAGAGGGAGAGCGGAGAGAGGAAAAGGGGGGAGAGGAGGGAGGGAGAGAGAGGGAGAGGGGAGAGAGGGAGAAGAAAGACAGAGGAAGGGGGAGAAGGAGGGGGAGGAGAGAGGGAGAGAGAAAGGGGGAGAGGAAGGCAGGAGAGGAGAGATAGGGAGAGAGGAAGCGGGAGAGGGAGAGGAAGAGAAACCAAGGGAGAATGAACTCAGGTTGTAGTAAGGTAAAATCTATTTATGGTTTGCGGGTGCACTGGACTGGGGTGAGGGGATAGTGTATAATGCTGATGTTGGGTCTTGTGATTTTAGAGGTTAGGGGAACGACAATGGTAGGGCTTCCCAGGGAACGGGCAGCTAGCCTTCTTGCGTATACCATTCTCTGAGAAGGCAATGTGCTGCCCCTGGAGGAAGACAGTGGCTCTGGGATGGACCAGGTGGACTTAGGAGGGGACACAGGGCTGAGGAAAATTTCCAGTGATACTCTGTACTCAGGTACAAAACTGCAGGATAAACCATCCAGATAGAGGTGCTTGGGAAATCAGGGCAGGAATATGTTCTTTGCTGGGACAGAGAGACGTGGACAAGAGTAAGTGAAGGGCAGCGTGCAGCACCCAAGGAGATTGCGCGGGAGGCACAGCCCTGCGAGTCAGGTGAGGAAGGTGGACAGGGGGTCAGCAGGAAACAGGCCGAGGCTCTGGGACAGGCAGGCTCCATGCCTGAGCCTAGCACAGACCTCAGGAAGAGACAGAAGGAGCTGGCGAGCCTGGGCTCCCAGGGTGCAGTCTCTGAGAGCCAGCTGCGCTCTTCAACATTGTTGGTTATGGGTCCCTTTCAGGATCTGAGGAAAACTATAACGCCACTCCCCAAGAAAATGCACTGCTACTCACATAACTGTCTTTCACTGCTGGAGATTCACAGGTCCCAAAAGTCAAGGCACAGACGCAAGGTTATGGACGCCACGCCCAGAGGATGCTCCTCTGCCCTGAGAGAGGGGTGATAACAGGAAATACTTGAAGGCAAGTATTTGGCAAACTAGTGGGATAATATGAAGCCTGGCCTGAAACTGGTCTGAATAATACATAATTTGCAGCAAAGATTAGTTAGGCACTTAAGCTGACAGTGTGGGCCTGACTCCGAGGGAAAGGTGGGAGTTGTGAGGGCAGCAGGAAGGTCTCAGAGGCAGACCTGAGCAAAAAAGAGGAACACAAAAAAATTGCAAAACTGGGCTGGGCATGGTGATGCATGCCTAAAACTCCAACATTCCGATAGGCTGAGGAAGGAGGATCAAAATTTCCAGCATGCCCAGCCTGCCTAACAACTAAGTAAGACCATGTCTCAAAATAAAAAAGGGCTGGGGATATAGCTCAGTGTGAAGGCGCTGGGTTCAATCCTCAGAACCTACTTTTTAAAAAGAAAGAAAGAAAATACTGGAAAACCAAAAGTTGGAGTATCTGGGAGTTTGAAGAGAAAACTAACCCCCCCATTCACTGTGAGAGGAAGTTGACTGAAAGATAAACAATGGTGGACACCCTGGATGATGAAACTTTGCTTTGGGGGATACTCCTAGCTTTTGAAGCAAGCATGTCTTACTGTCTTAGTTATTTTTTTAGTTGCTGAAACAAAATACTCAACACTCAAAGTTAAAGGAGGACAGGTTTATTTCAGCTCGCAGACTGTAGAGGTTTCAGTCCATGGTTTGCTGGTTCCCTGGCAGGGTGGCATGGTAGAGGGGCAATGCAGAGAAGAAAAGCTTGTTGGTATGGCAAGCAGAAGGCAGTGAGCAGCAAGTAACCAGGAGCAAGCCTCCTTTTCCCTTTTACCCCATCCAGGCTACAAGCCTTTTGAGTGGTACCACCCATGCCCAAAGCAGGCCTTCCTATTATCATACCCCAAACTATGTTATACTAATTTAGTTACCATACACCCTTAATTCCAGTATCACACATCCTAAATCCAGCCACTTCTGAAAAGCCCTGCCTCTGACTGCATGAAGCCATGGGGGGACATGCAAATACAAGCCATGTCGAGTTAAGACACGAAGCAGTACTAAAACAAAGAAAGACAGAACACATACACACACAGTGAACCCGTACTTATATTGAAATAGTGCCTCCTCCCCACCTTTAGGCACTGTTACTTTTCATCTAGATATCTGATTTAATTAAACCATAACCTGATTCTTGAAATGATTTATCTTGGGAGGGGAAGGAGGAAAGGGGCCACAGCTCCATGTGCTGCTAGTGCGTTGTATGTTTGGTTTAACTTGATGTTTTCATATTCACGCTAGAGCTCTTTTTTTGTTGTTGTTGCTGTTATGGATGACTTTTCAGGAGTGGCTGGGCGGCTCTGGTTCTGAAAATATACAGTGGTGTTTGACTCTTATAGTATACACTTTGGCTGGAGAGAAACTGAACTTGAGAGCATTTTTCATGCATGACTTGTTTTGGTCCCTGGGTATGCAACATGCAAGGGACACAGTGGGGTAGACTGATAGTCCAAGGAAACTTAGTTTTTTACAGAAGAAGGATATGCTTTAAATGATTAGCAGAGAATGCCTTGTGTGAGTCCACCACAAGAATATCTAATAACAGTAGTATTTACAGAAATACGCTCATTGTCAAATGTTCCCCAAGGATATATACAGCATACTGTAACATATACCAAATAAAGAGCACAGAACGAGGTGTCAGAAGATCTGGAATCTGTAGTTGGCTTGAAACTAAGGTATATGACCTCAAGCAAATTATCGAACATTTCAGACAGACCTCAAATGTTCTGCCTACAAAATGAGATTAAGTATGCCTGCCACCTCCCTACCTCACAGACACGGTCAAATGTGAGCAATGAATAAAATCTCAGAAATTAAAATATTCAAGATCTTTAAAGATTCATATTAAATTATGTCATTAATATACAAAACTAAAGAATTTTCAAAAACTTAAATACATTTTAAAAAATTCTTAGTGCCTACCTTGGAAAGCGCATTGTGCTAGGTATTATGGGGTAGGGAGGGAATCTGTCCTTCAAAGATCTTTGTTTAGTATAAAAATTAAACTTATACTATAAAGATTTTTAAAAAGACACTTCAAATTGTATAGAGTTAGAGCCAAACAAGTAAACAGTTTCATTTAGATAGCTGATAGCAAATAAGACAAGTATGTGAAAATAAGTACATTATAGTACATACCTAAAAATCAATACTGGTGAACTTGTCTAGAGTATAAGTAAAGCACATAAATTTGAGCCAAATATTGGAAAGTCTTTTTTTTACATCTCAAATATATACAGCATTTTTTACATGCTGTATATATCCTTGGGGAACATTTGACAATGAGCTCAAAGGACTATTCCAGGCTTTAGAAGGGGCACTTGCATTAACAATTAGATTCTCAACAAAGTTCTGGAGGTCAGGACAAGGACAGCAAATACAGCACATGATGGTTTATCACCTTGGCTGGGCTATGGTGCCCAGTTGTCGGGTCAAACATTAGTCTAGATGTTGCCGGAAAGATATCAGTGGATGTGATTAACAATTATAACCAGGTGATGCTAAGCCTGGCAGACTGTCCTCCATAATGCAGGTGGGCCTCACCCAAGCAGCTGAAGGCCCTAAGGGCAAGCACTGAGAATTCTCAGAGAAGAAATTCTGCCTCAATATTTTACCATAGAAAATGAGGAGTTATTGATCAATGGGCAAAAAATTTTAGTCAAACAAGATTAACATGCCCTGGAGATCTGCAGTATGACACTATATTCTATAGTCAGCAGTAATATATAATACACTGAGAATTTGTGAAGAGGGTAAATCTCATGCTATGTTTTTACAATAATAGTAATAAAATCTAACATAGATTTTTTTTTTTTTTTTTGGTACCGGGTATCAAACTCAGGACCTTGCACTTGCCAGGCAGGTGCTTGTGCCACTGAGCTATATCACCGGCCCTATGAAACCTAACATAGAAATCCTGCCTGAGTTTCCAGACTGCCAGCCTGCCCTGTGGATTTGGGAATCAAGACTGCAACACCAGCTCCTCTTTGAATTTCTCACACATTTGCCAGGGTTTTGGCATGCCTCAGCCTAACTGCGGAGAGCTAGAAACAATCTCTCTGTCTCTCTCTGTATCTCCGTCTTTCTGCCTCTCATGCTTTTTCTCTCTGAAGGGAACTGACTATGACTATACAAAGCGAGAATATAAAAAGCCTAGAACGTGCAGGAGAAAACCGGGAACATGGGAAGCGGCAGCAAGCTGGCCCTGTCCATGTAATTCATCGTGGCCTGTCCATGCTCACTGGGCAGCTGCAACAGAGACTGGGACTTCAAATTAGGCTGAAAAAGACAGGGAGTCTGAGGTCTGCCCAAGGTTCACTGGGCCTGCAGGTGCCCCTTGCTCCCTGGTCCCGACTGAGTTTCCTGACGTCCATGCCCTATGCTCAGTACCCATCCCCTGGTACTGGTGGGGAACTATTAGAGAATTTTATCTATGAAGAAATTTAAAATCTGCCTGGAAATTGTACCCTAGATAAGACATTAAGTGTAGGAGAAGCTGAGTGAGTGATATACAGAAACAGTATTATTTTTGTAACTTGTCTCTAAAGCTAAAATTAGATCAAAATACAAAGTTAAATAAAAAATGTCTGGAAAGAACTAGCAGCATGTCTCAACACTAGAGTAAAGCGTTCCTTCCCTGACATTTGGACCCCCGCACACCCACATAAACTTCTGACTAAAACCTGTCCCTCTCTTGGTTGGTCCTAAAGTGAAACTACCAGAGGACAAGCCCCCCACACAGCATCAGGGTTCCACACAGACTTCCTATTCATGGAGCAGTAACAGGAAATCGGATCTACACATAGAATGGCAGGGGAAATCCGCACCATTTATTCAGAAAATGAAGACTCAGCCTCTTTCTTAAACATAGATCAATAACCAAAGCTCACCACTCACATTTAAAAACGAAACACAAGCTTCAGAGAGAAAAGCCAAGTAATTAAATATGGCACCTGACTCCAAAGAAACAGATAACCCAGAAAACATGAGATGTTTAAAGAGGGGATCTTAATATTTTCACGCTGTTTTCACAGGCATTATTAATATTTTCATTGAACAGGCTTGGGAAAGATGTACAAGAAATTAAGGCTTAAAACTATTATTTTTAAGGTTCAAAGTTTATAGTAGACTACTTAACTATCAACTTAGGAAGGGAAAAAGGTAAAACAAGTGAACAAACAACAAAAAGAATTATTATCACCACCATTACTATTACATCAAGTTAGTAATCGCCTGAGCACATCTAATACCAGAAGGAAATATCGGGACTGGGGATTTAGCTCAGCGGCACAGTGCCTCCCCGGCAAGCGCAAGGTCGTGAGTTCGATCTCCAGTACCAGAAAAAAACAAAACAAAACAAAAAAACCAGAAGGAAATATCCTGGAAAGGGCACCATAGCTTTTCATCATAAGCATTTCTGTGCTATTCTGTTTCTTAACAAATGCAGGTATTTTTTTTTTTTTCACAAAAACTTAAAAAGGGAAAAAGGAAAGAAATTCCTTTACAAATAATCTCCCCAGGATGAAAGAGCTTTTTTAATGTAGGCAATTCCCACTGACATCACCGATACACCTGACGGAAGAAGAAAAACATCTATAATGACAGGACTAAAAGGGAATCATCCCAAATGCAGGTTTGAGGGCTCAAGCAGTAAAGCAACTTGGAAATTTCTGTACTGATCTTTGTCAGAAAGCAGGAGTAGGCTTTTGTATGAGGAAAACTAATCAGCAGTTACACTCCTCTTCCCTATGCTGGACCCATCAGTGTGTGAGTAGCAGTGCTCTGTAAATCGAGGTGCAAAACGAGTCTATTACTTCAGATGCTGGGGTGCAGATTCATCTCCACACCTTCCTTTAGCTGAGGAGTGAAATGTGTAGAATGTTCAGCACTTCTTTGATCTACCAAACCATAAACTGTAACAGATATGCAGGAAAGGAATGGTGCTCATTGATAGTACCAACATGAATATATTAGTTATATTTACCATGAATGATAATTATGAACAGCTTTCTACCATATTATATGTACTCTGATCCTCAATATTCTCTGCAATCATATTAACTTGCCTTTTTAAAAATGAAATCAACATATCTACATGCCAGCTTCTTTTATTACTGCATTTCCCCTACCTACACCCATGATCGCTGCATTCTTTGCCTTGGGAAATGTATTCTTTGGTCTGATGAAATGTCTGGCTTTGTAAATACTGCATATTCCTCACAAGAGTGGGCAAAGACATTCTCACCTATTTGTCTTTCCCCAACTGACCTACAGGGTCTGTCAGCTGGGTTTTCTTCAGGTCACATGGAACATGGAGTATACAAAGTTGGACAATTCACTTGGGCTGCAAATACAAGCTGTCTGGGAAAACAATTTACTGGACGATAAAAGGGAAAGGCATCCTGTGGGTTTGGTTAATGCCGAGTGAACAGTTACAAAACTGCTGGGTGCCCCCAGGGCATTCAGTACAATCAAAACCTGTGATTGTTTTCCCCCTAGCTTCTCTTTCCTCTCACATTCTGACAGCTCAGCTCTAAACAGTTCACCTGCAGTCAAACCCATAGGTGGAAACAAAACAAACTTCTTCATCTCAGTACCGCAGGACATCATACTCCTTGATCTTTATCACCCTGTCCAAAGTGACATTCATAAGAAGAATGTAAAATCAGCCTGCAGCAAAGCACCCCTAAGGACACTGCAACCCCTCCCAAAGCACCTCTGAGAACAGCCCAGGGACCAGCAGCTTACAGTACTGCAGCTGGGAGGCAGGTATCTGAATTGACATTCCCCTGAAGCAACATCAGGCAGAAAATAATCATTTTCCATTTATTTTCTCATCTCTTATTGTGTAAAAGTGGAATTATAAGCAAAATACAAAAAACTCTGTTGGGTTTTGTGTCCTTGGCTGAACATTTTACTTGACCAGGATCCTTCAGTTAATTCCCATTTAAGCACTGCATTTTACCAGCTCCAGGTGACAGTGCTTATATGGTTACAATAGTACTGTGAAGGTTGACAGTGGACATCAAAGGTACACAAGTCCCTGCTCCTTTTTCTTCTTCCTGTTTTTGACAGCCATCTGATCAGATTCCAAGGCAAATCACCGTGGCAAAATCACCAAAGGCAATCAGAATAGGCCACAGGAAGGTGAGGCCTTCAACCTATTAGCCTTTGCACTGATCTCTCTGTACAGGACAAACAATGCTGACTACAGCAAGAGCCAGACAGCACACAGACACATCCCTTCTGATTAGGGCCAAGTCCCAAGGCCAGGTAAAAAGCAAGGCCTTAATCTCCTATTGCAACCATAAGAAATCTAGATGATAAGAAGCCTTACAGGCAAAATATCTCCAATGGTCAGAATCTGACAACACTCAGATGAGAAGGTAAAAGAAATCAGTTAGTGGGCAACTGAGGATTTGAATAAAACCTGTGATATCACACTGTAAAGATATACCTGCCTCCAGGCTCTCAATACATGACATTATCAGATGCCATCAACACAACACTGAATGGCCTGGGAAATCACTTATGTGGCCCAGTAGATTTTCTGAGCTTATTTGCAAAGCTGGTCTAATCTCTCCTGAATATCAGGGCAGTCTTGCCAACCAGCCAAACACTCACTTTAATCATTTTCAGATAAGAGAAAAACTGTTCTGTACATAAATAAAAAGCTTAACCCACTGAGATGGGTTCTGCCTCCCTATTCCACCCCTCTCTCTTCTTCACAAAGTACCTGCAGCCAAGGTACAACAACCCAATCAAAACCTTTAATCAACTTTCACTCTACCTGAAACATGGAATCTTTTTGAAATGATCTAAAATAATGTAGATGTAACTATAATTCTAGCTCTTTAAATCCTCATGAATACTATAGAAATTTCAAATAGTTCAGCTACTTTGGAAAATGATTCAGAAGTTTCTTATAAAAGCTGAACACAGATCTATCATCCTACTCAGTAATCGCATGCTTGGAACACGTTATGAGAAATGAAAACATGTTTGCACAAAAAATGGTATATGAATGTTTACAATGTCTATTTATAAAGACCCAAATCTGGAAACAATCCAAATATGCTTTAGCTGATGACTGGCTAAACTGTACATCCACAGAATGAAATACTACTCAGCAATAAAAGGGAACTAACTATTGATACACACTACAAACGAACAGATGTCAAATACAAGATATTTTGTGAAAGAAGCCAGACTGAAAAGGCATTATGCCATCTCTATGACATACTGGAAAAGGCAAAACTATAGGGTCAGATAACAGGTCAGCAGTGGCCAGAAGTTGGGGAGGGAGGAAGAGGTCACTACAAGATGGCACAAGAGAATTTTAGGGGCAATGGTCTGTTCTATGTCTTGGCTGTGATAAAAGTTACACAAGTACCTACATTTGACAAAATGCCTAATATTGTATGACAAAAAGGGGTGAGTTTTACAGAGTTAAGTTATACCTCAATGAATCTAACTTAAAAGCAAAGTCTCAGTCTAAAATATTCAATGTGAGAAACACAGATTTGAAAACAACAGAGTAACTTCTGGCCTACACCAAGATCTGGAGGCCTTCTCCCCAGCAGTCTGGAGCACTCCACAGACAGGCACCCTAGTTTCCTTGGATGCAGCTTAAATAAAGCCCTAATATGTAAATTAATTATATCAGCATAGTCTTTGATGTTTTTAGCCTGTTCTTCATGAAGGCTCCTGACAGTTTGGATTGAGATGCTTTTTACTTAGCAGGTTGCTGTACATGTCCCTACCTTGCTTTGCCTAGAGTTCTAACTGCCCGGATGCCAAGCTTTCATAGTCACTGGTGTGAAAAAAAAGTCAGACTGAGAATTTCAGCCTGGACTGTGTGTTTTTCACAATGACACAAATTAATCTTTGTTTTTCTGACTATAATAAGGAAAAAAGGGGCTTCCCTAATTCAGTGATATTCTCATAGCTTACTTCTACAGAATTATTTTTGGCAGGAAAATATTCAAGTCTTGGACATTCAAAGGTTTCACATTTTTCCTTTGGATGCCAAGACCACATGTTCTCCATTCTGAATGTAACTTGAAACAAAGCTTTATGTTCCCTACCCTTCTCCCAGTAAACAAATCAGCCAAACATTTATGAAAACCCACTGCACAGAAGTGAATGCTAAGGGCAGACAGAATAAGCAACTCAAAGACCCAGCCTTTGGCAGGTACTAGAATTGCTCAGACACCTCCAGTGGAAGGTGGATTATGAAGTGTTATAAAGAGAGGCATAAACATACGGCTAAGGCACTGAGAGGCAAGATAAGTAGGAATAATCTGGGAGAGAGGAATTTAAGCCCTGTCCTTGAAGGATGTGTGACTCCAGACATGCCAGGCTGAGGGACTGCTTTGCAGATTCTGGGTTCAGATTTAT